TTCCAGCTTTGAGAGGCCACTGGCCTTCCTTGGCTCCTGGCATCCTTCCTGCACCATCAACGCCACCAACATCATGCCAAGCCTTTCTCACACTGCTCTGCCTCTGCTTCTCCCCTTCTACCTCTCTCTTTAATTTAGAAGGACCCTTGTGATTGGTTACATTGGGCCTACCCACCCAGATAATACAATGTAGCTCCCTCCTTTAAAGTAACCTCCATTCCACCTGCAACCTGAACTCCTCTTTGCCTTGAAAGGTAACATAGTCACAGGTTCCAGGGATTAGGATGAGGACATCTTGGGGTGAGTGCCGGAAGCTGGTCCATCCTTGCTGCTTGACACAGTTGCTACAGGGAAGAAACATCTGCACAGCATATGTTTCAAGGGACCTGGCGTATATGGCATACTGTTCTTAATATGTTTGCTCCCCTTCTTAGCGCTATGTGTTTTAACCAAGGTCACCTCTCTGAGAAAGGTTGTTTCCCCAGGTGGGGATTTTTCCTTGGAGTTAGGGATTAACAGGACTAAGGAAGGAAATAAATCAGTAAAAACCCTTAACTAAGTGCCAGGTGGGTAATCACTTTAACTATGAACAATCACGCTTAAGCTACATAATCTTTACTTAGGATAATCTCCTTCAGTTACTTCCTTGTAGTTTAACAGAACAATAGAGTAGTGACCTTGGAATGGAGATAACAAACGCCCTAACCTTTGGAATAGAATGGATAGGATTCAAATCAACTGGTATAAATACAGATGTAGCAGGAGAATAAAGACAGAACCTAGCAACAGAACCTGGCTGGAGAACTTGACTAGAGAACCTGGCTAGGCTGCTGATCAACTGAATGCTATCTCGGTCCACACCTTTGGGAACCCCTGGACCTGCTGGGGCTGGACCCCAACAACTGGCGCTTAGATCCTGAGCCGGAGGGACACGGGTTACAGGGAGGCAAGATGGCAGACGTGCTGGATCTGCACGAGGCCTGCGGCGAGGATTTCGCCATGGATGAGGATGGGGACGAGAGCATCCACAAACTGAAAGAAAAGGCGAAGAAGCGGAAGGGCCGCGGCTTTGGCTCCGAGGGCTCTGGAGCGCGGATGCGGGAGGATTAGGACAGCATGGAGCAGGATGGCGACGAGCCCGGGCCACAGCGCTCTGTTTGAAGGCTGGATTCTCTTTGTCACCGGGGTCCATGAGGAAGCCACGGAGGAAGACATCCATGACAAATTCGCAGAGTATGGGGAAATAAAAAACATCCACCTCAACCAGGACAGGCGCACAGGGTACCTGAAGGGGTATCCCCTAGTTGAGTATGAAACATACAAGGAGGCCCAGGCTGCGATGGAGGGACTCAATGGCCAGGATCTGATGGGACAGCCGATCAGCGTGGACTGGTGTTTTGTTCGGGGTCCACCCAAGGGCAAGAGGAGAGGTGGCCGGCGGCGCAGCAGGAGTCCAGACAGGAGGCGACGCTGACAGGTCCTCTGCTGGCCGGGTGTTCGCTGCAGCGATTCCATGTGACCACACAGCCTTGGAGAAGTAGGGCTGGGGTGGAACTCACTGTTTATATTTAACCCTTTACCCTCTTGCTTAGTGTTTTGGAACTTGGGGGGGGGGGGGGCATTGAATTATAAATAAATGTCCCATTTTTGTTTTCTACATTTAAAATTATTTTCTTGCTCTAACCTTGCAAGCTCCGAAGTGCTCTTTACCGTAGGAAGTGTGGGACACTGGGAAGGTACTTCTCCCAGTAACTGAATTCAGTGAGTTTCTACATGAGACATAGTCTCAGTCTCAAAGAGTCAAAGTAGAAACACTGCTCAAGGTATTTCTTTTTGAAATACCTTGAAGCTAAGAGAGCAGGGGTAGAAGTGAGATGTTTTCAGGATATTAACGAATAATTATTCTGTTCCTGTATACTCTGCCCTGAGCAAATGGATGTTACAGGAATATTTTCTTTTTGTTTCTCTTGCCTGTACTGCCACATTTGTTTGCACCTCCAGCTGTTGAAGGGCTTAAATCTCCTATGGGCGTTCTCCCAGATTCTCTTTCCCTAAAGGAGTCTATACAAAGTTCTTGGTGCCCACTTTGGTAGCCAAGGGTGAAGGCCCCTTGGAGATGATCCAGAGGAGCACTGATGAGGCCAAAGAGACGAAGAGGAGGCTGGGAGGAACTCCAGTTAGCATTATGGGAGAGAACCAGCGAGTAGGGAGGTGTCTGGCAGAGGACAGAGGTCAGCAAAATCAGCTGGGCTGGTCGCAGGTGCACAAACACGGGGTGATTGTCTAAGGAGCGGTGGAGGGCAAATTTGCTGGTAGGTTTGGGATTTAGAAAATGCACTGCCATTCAGAACCACTCAGCTCCGACCTGAGTATAGGGTGAATGGATGGGTGGGCAGTGAGATGGTGCTCTCCCCTACAAGGAAGAGAATGCTCCAGACCCTCTTCTCCTTCGAAACTTGGGACTGTGTGCTCCTTTCCCCCATGGATTATGACAGACATGCTGGAGAAAAGTTTTGGTGGTTTTTTTTTTATCTTTTTCTTTCCTATTTTTATTGATTTCAGAGAGAAAGGGAGTGGGAGATCGAGAGAAACATCATTGATCGGCTGCCTCCTACACACCCCCTACTGGGGATAGAGGCTGAAACCCAGGCATGTGCCCTGACCGGAAATCGAACTGTGACCTGGTTCATAGGTCGACACCTAACCACGGAGCCACGCCGGTGGGCAAGGTTTGCTTGAGGTGCTGTGCTGTATGAAGCTACTAAGTCTACTTTAAGACATCATGGTGTCCCAAGAGTAAAGGAGAATACTGATCACATTTCTCCTTAATCCTTGTCCACCTAACTCAAGTTCAGATGATGGCTAGAGGTTGGTTAGAATTGGAGGCATTCAAGAAAATTATTTAAGAAAGAAAGGAAGAAAGAAAGAAAGAAAGAAAGAAAGAAAGAAAGAAAGAAAGAAAGAAAGAAAGAAAGGAAGAAAGAAAGAAAGAAAGAAAGTTACATGCAGCATCAGTGTGGGGAGCCGATATAGGGTTAAGCCTCGGACTGACCTGTTGGCAAAGTCACAAACAGGTCTTCTGAGTCTTAAACAACCCAATCTGAGAGGTGGCTGCTGATTTACACGCGCTATCATTTAAAAAATAAAAAAGGGGGAATTTGCCGGAAGCCGGTCCATCCTTGCTGCTTGACACAGTCGCTGCAGGGAAGAAACATCTGCACAGCATATGTTTCAAGGGACCTGGCGTATATGGCATACTGTTCTTAATATGTTTGCTCCCCTTCTTAGTGCTATGTGTTTTAACCAAGGTCACCTCTCTGAGAAAGGTTGTTTCCCCAGGTGGGGGATTTTTCCCTGGAGTTAGGGATTAACAGGACTAAGGAAGGGAATAATTCCGTAAACCCCTTAACTA